TCTCTCTCTCTCTCTCTCTCTCTCTCTCTCTCTCTCTCTCTCTCTCTAATCTGATAGTATTTCTGATCCTGGGCGAGACAGAAACAACTGTTACCCCGAGCCACTTAGAATAACAAGCAGCTTCAGCAGGCCTGCAGGGCCAAAACCACGGCTCCCGGAGCATGAAACAAGGTTGGCATGCGAGCGGATCGTGATTCTGACAGGCGAACATATTGGTCCCATACTGGAAGGCTACGGTTGAAGGATGCCAAGGAAGGGCCTCGGAGGATTTCGTACCTGGGCAAGCACCAAATAAAAACAACTACGGTACACTCTGACTTCACTTTAACTTTAGCTCAAAACTCGCGTTGGTGCAGTGGAAGCTGAAATCCGAGGCATTTTCCTTGGCATTGTTCTGATGGTAAAACTATTCATCCGTCAAATTCTTTCCAGAATTGAGGTTTGAGACTGCATGCAAATGTTCCTTCATTTAATTTATTCAGTTTTGTGCTACTGTGTGATCCTATGGGGCGATGGCACGCATTCAGTATGAAGACAAATTTGAAGGCGTCATCGTTCCCGGTTTGATCACATTGATATTTCAGAATCCCTTAGACGATGTTGTCCCTCAAAGGCAGCTAAGAACCAATCTAGTTTTTTGTACCAGCCGAAACAATGCTACTGCGTCCCAAAGCATTTTCAGACACATCTCTACACCCGAAGCCATTTGACAGTGCTTTATGTGCTTTAGCTAAGAACTTAGGGAAACAATGTACGTACTTTAAGAGCACCAAATATTATTTTTTATTTGGAGGAGAGGTATCATCCCTGGCAGGAGTCCAACTCCATTTTTTGTTCTTGGGCCTTGGTTTTTTTTCTAGAGGATTCCCCAAACAACAAAAGTATTTGTACACCATATTGAGCCGGGATTGTTGGAAGAGACTAAATACTCAATTCAGTTTATATAAATCCTTGATAGGGAGAATTTAAAAAGCTCTCACAAAACCAGACACTACATTTGTGCATTGCTAGCAAACGATAAAGGCCTTGAGGAGCCATTATCTGTTGTCTTAAACCAATCAAAGTCATCAAGGACTAGTGATGGGTATCGTTACGATTTTATCGATACACGCACTCTTGTCAATAATCTTATAGGTTCTTTTTTATTATATTGTGAGAGAAAAAGACAATTAATTAAGAAAACAATCAATATTGCTTTATTATTCTTGTATGTATACAAATAGTCTTTCTTGAGCAGCAATAATAGAAGTTCCAAAATCTTTCAAATACATTCCCAGCTGAACAATTAGCTAAGCGATTACCTTTAATATATTAGCCTATTCTAACTCTGTATAGCATCGCTAACGTTACCTGCAGAGGACGAGGATGGAGGGCTGCTTGCTTTATTTTTTTATGTTCTGCTTGTTTGCCAAATGTTGATGATAAATTGTTTGTTGTTGCATATGTGACAACGAGAGTTCTCAGCATCCACTCGAGTACAATGTAGCCACACTTTGGATCTTTTTGTTCTCTCTGCCATGATGTGTGTCACGCTATACTCAGCCTCAGCACAGCTCGTGCAAAGACATAGAGACAGAGAGACAAGGTTAGTGACGCCGCTATGTTCCGCGAAGATCTCACTCTGTAGCTAATAAAGTACCAATCGCAGAACCTTTAACTCCGGACCTTATCGATACTCTGGTATTTTACTAATTTGGAACTGGTTCCTTTTAAGAACCGAGTTTCGGGGGGCATCCCTATCCAGGACACAGTGAAATGTTAGATAGAGTGTCTTAATCTGTGTAGTTCTAAGTCAGATAGGAAGATTTGATCTAATTTGGGATTTGGTTTGACAAAATTGGTAGCAAGCATGGTGCGTCTGGAGAATTACGCTGATTTGGAGCTGTAGTGGACTTCACCCATTGATCAATGTTCAGGAGGAGGAGTGCAAGGGATCATCAACCAAGCGCTTTTGGAGGGTTTTTGCCGAATGATATCCAAATTCACACTCCCGATAGCTGCTAGGCTACAACTTACGAGCTAACACTAGTGCTAACGCAAAGTGCACTTAAGTGAAGATGGGCGTAGTTAGCTTAGCACCCCGATACTTTGAAAAAAAAAAAGTATATTTGACAGCTAGCAAGATAACCCAACTTGTTTCACTGTGTCTTTTACTGTATTGACTGTGTGTTGGGAATAGGTGTCTTGCTTTGCTTTTTGTGTCACATTTTTTGCAGATTTTCCCCAAATGTCTTTAAAGAAATCAACAAAATGAACCAAACTATGTTAAAAACAATTGTTGTTTAGGTTTATTCCTTATTCGTATTTTTTTAGCTTGCCATTGGTCACAGAAAGGGGGGCTTCAACCTCGGCTGCGTTTAGAGAGGGAAGCCAACAGGAGATGAAAAGTTCGCCAATTGGAGACTTCTCGCAGCGCTTCGGTCAAACTGATGAGTCACACTGTGAGTTATTTTTAACTTACAGAAACATGCAATAGTTCACCTTCTCTTCGCCTGTCCCCATCAAGCAAGCGAGCCAGTTATGTTAGATTATAAAAGGCTTCCCATTGTAAAGCTGAATGAATGAGTTTAGCTGGTCGAGGCATCTGGCCTCTTCATCACTTAGTTTTCAGGTTCATCAAGTGGAATGCTGTTTTGTCTCTCTTACACTCAACAACTAGATAAGCTACATGTACGGGGATTGGGGGTTAAAGACAGCTGACATGAGGCTGCTGTCTGTTTAAGTATGTATGTGTTTTCAGTTCTCTTTGTACAGTGGTTGTGCATCTCTGTATGAATCATATGTGTTTCCAACAGAGAGACTAATTAAAAGGCAGAGAATATTCATGAAACGGCACACGCAGTTTAAAGACGCATCATCAAAAAGACTGTCGGGCCTCTGAACATGCAGTTAGAAATATTCTACCCCTGGCAGAGCAGAGGAAAAAGAAGTGGAAAGTCTACGGACTTGTGGAGGGAAAAAAGAAATACACAAAGTTTATATCTATTCACACGAGTCCCATTTCTTTTAGGGTAGCTATATCGAAAATAACAGCAGCAGCAGAGGAGACAGTAGCATGAGAAGATGGAGGTCGCCTGCCAGGTGATCTGCGCGCCCTCTTAGAGACTCCTTGTTGATTTCTTCCTGGTTGGACGAGCCACGTGAGGAGACCGAGGCCACCGGGTGGTCGTCGCGGTTGGAGCACATGTCGTACAGGTTTCCGGAGAACTGCATCTTCTTTGATTCCTGTCGGAGGGATTCCCAGACCGCTGCGGCTTCGTCCGGACAGCCGGCCATCGCCATGTTGGCGCAGTCATGGAACTCGTCCCACGACCTGAAGGAAAGAGACGAGACGTCAGATTCAGATGTGACTTGGGACACATGACAACAAATGAAGCCAAGACATGTAAGAGACCTAAAACCAAATGAACAAAAAGGCTATAGGGAGTCAAAACAGCAGTACAGTCTACACATGATTAGGTGCAAAAATAATGGAAAGCTTGAATCAACGGGGCAAAATTCCTGTGTATATGACAAATGGATGTAGTGGATGGTGGAAGCCTGTCTACAGACATTAGCCACGCCAACAGTGGTACGTGGTATCTTTACTAATGGCACACTAGCAAAAAGTGTGTATGATTTCAACTCAGATTTTCAAAAAGGATGGCAGCGTTCTTGTACAGTGCTCTTATATACAATTACAATCTCCTGATACTGTTAGATAAATATATATTTCTTTTAAATTGCAGCTATGCATGTTGCCTATAAGGACAGGATCAAATTACATGCGTCCATGATCCCCAGAGGATGAATCTTTCTGACTTTGATGATCCCCTGACTTTTGTGTCAGTGCCCCCAGAAGGACAATGTTTGTAATGCCTTCCATCCATCCTGTTAAATATCTCTACATCTACATAATGGAATTGCAAAACATTTTCATGGTTCCCAGAAGATGTCTTTGTTGATCCCCTGATTTTTCTTTCAGTGCCATCATGAGGTTGATATTTTTGGTTTTGAGTGAAATGTCGCCATGACTTTGGTACAGACATTCATGTTCCCCTCAGGATGAATTGTAATAACTTTGGTGATTTCACAACTTCTCATCTATTGCATTCATCAGTTCAAGCAAAAGCAAGAGCACCATAGTGTTGTTAGTAAGATCCAAACCACCAGCATGGCTGGAAACTCTTGCTCAAGTCCAACTGTTCAGACATTCCATGCCAGCTAGCAAATGTACACACCAACCTTGTATGAGGAATGTGCCAAGTTTTTCACTTTGCCATGGATGTGTGCTATAAATACGATCAAACCACATCTAAAATTCACACCTTAAGCATGACGCAGCCGAGCCAATAATCTCCCGCAGACACATAATTATCCAGACCAGTGAATGCCCCATGATTTCACTAATAAAGATCTAAGCTCTGAAAAAAGCTGATGAAGATGCGGCGACAGTGAAGCTTAAGCCCTTACACTGAGTAAATCTAATTCAATCTATTTGTTTGTTCCTTTGACTTTTCTTTGCAGTTGCCAAGAGACCATTTGCTGATCTCCACTACTCTGAGAGCAAAGATCGCAGTGCGAGTTAGACTGAAACGGGGGGAAAACGTCATTAGAACAGGTAATGGAAAAGCTGTCATGAACTTGGTGTTTGTTGAACCACTGCTGTGTTGTATCCAACCATTTGAAACACTTTGTCTGACCTGAGAAGAGAAATAAGAGGGGAAAAAAACTGGAAAAAGAAAAGAGCAAAAAGGAGGAGGGAAAGATTATGAAGGAGAGACAGGAGGAAGTATTCTTACACAACTATTTTTGGATATAAACATTTGTTCAGTAAATCACAGCATTAAACTCCACATCTAAAGCTGAGTCTATCTGACTGTAATTGGCTGCTAATTCTTCCCCTCATCACGAATGTGTTGGCTAAGTTGTCTCTGAGGACAAACCGACTGAGTGTTAAGTAGAAGAAGAGAAAAGGAGGGCCGGTGGAGAAAGCAGAAGCAGATGGCTCTGTTCAAAATCAGCCTGACACAAAACACTTGAAGTACTTTACTATGAAAACCATAAAAGTCCATATAATAAATATGAACATGCTGCTTTTCCTCTTTCGTAACAGAGGCGCTCTGTGTATGTCATCCAGACCCCAGATACCAACACGTTCTCACTCCAAACTCGTCAAATACCGACGCTTGGTCAGTGAGCCTACACTTCAACACTACATTGTGACGCTCTGGTACCACTTTAGGGTCACTTCTGGATGTGTCACGGACGGCAAGCTAGTTTCCACTCATTACATGAATAGTGTCTTTTCAAAATAAACCTTTGTGTTTACAGGAAACTTACATTTTCAGCTTGTTACATGCATAGTGTCTTTTCAAAATAAACATTTGTGTTTACAGGAAACATGCAGTTTCAGCTTGTTACATGCATAGTGTCTTTTCAAAATAAACCTTTGTTCACAGGAAACATACAGTTTCCACTTGTTACATGAATACAGTGTCTTTTTGAAGTAAACTCCTGTATTAAAAAGAAACGTACAGTTTCCGCTCATTACATACCTACTGTCTCTTTTCCAAATCAACTTATAACATAGGATCACTTAGTTTCCAGGTTTACTTTTGCAATAAAACTATTTTAGGCAACAAAAGTACTTGGTTAGGCCAAGGAAAATACCGTGGTTTGGGTTAAAGTAAGGATGTTATTTAGCTTAATTAAGTACGCTAGTTAAGTAAGTAAGTTACTTGGTTTCACACAGGACATGAACAGAACGGTTAAAAGTCTGTTTGACCCTCCCGACCACTCGCCCGCCCTAAGCGAACTTTCTCACTCTTTATACGACGTCAGTTGCTCTGGTCGTCTAATAACCCGAGGGCCACTGACAGGCGTCAGCTTGGGAGTAAGAACGGCTTGACAATACATGCTCTATGCTATGACTGCCTTGTCTCGACTGTGAACCTTAAAAATAACAGCCTGGCATAGTCTTCTTTGTTGTCTAACCTGCTGTCAGATAAGGAGGCGGATATCAAATCATTCTGAACAGAAGTCAGTTCGTGTGTTCACGGTTTAGCCTCATGATAACTGGTCACTTGTCGAATGTTTTTGTGTTTCAAGGATATTTTGTGTGCAGTTTTTCACTGATTACCTTTTTACAGCACAGAAAGCAGAAAGTAGGCAAGATGAGTACTGATGCCTTCGCTGCCTCTGTCTGTCACATATGCCGCATTCAAACGATGTCAAAAGAATGGGAAAAAACAACACAAGGGCCTGCTTCAATTACATAGGTAAGCTAATCACATCCTGGATCTCTTCCAACTAATATCGAACTTCTCATCAAAGTTCAGATTTGAAGGCTCCTAATTTGTAAGACTTTTCCTTTAACCATGCACGCTTTATGTCTTTCCATAACACAGCAAAAGGCAGCTTTGCACAGCGATTATTCTAAAGGAAAGTAGTCTAGCGTGTGATACGTCATACCAAAAGGTAAGTTACACAAGGGAAACGAAGATCTAATGTGTCGTTGGTGAGTCCGGCTGCCTCTGAATGGAGCAGTTAATCAGTTTTGATTTATCACTATAGCTGGAGAGGGATTGATCGCCACAATCTAATTCAGACAAATAGGATTAATCACGGTGGGCTTGTTGCAGTCCTGTGTTTTGTTTTGACACCCTGAAGGCTTCATTACTAATCTTAGTGTAGCTGTGATTCTCACCTAAACTGAACTCCCGGATCACGACTCTCACAGCCCCAAACATTTAAAAAAATCCTTTAAATAAGTAAGAAGCGACAACTTGTCTTCTTTGTACTGTGTGCCATTTTGAGGGCATTTGCTCCTAATTTTAAGTACAGAAATGCAAACACACTTACTTTCTATATCCATCTGACAGATGGATACACACACATTCACTCTTTGCTCACATACTGTTCATAAATATCATTTCTCTAGACCCACTTATTCAATATATTGTGTGACTGTGTCGAAACAGCAAGGGAAACACTCTTGAACACTCGAATGCAGCTTTATAAAATTATCAGGCACCACCACCACCACTGCAGGCCGGGCCTCCCTTGATGACTGGGCCTGTGTGTGTGTGTGTGTGTGTGTGTGTGTGTGTTTGGCCTGTGTCCAGGGCGTAAACACCTCAGTGGTCCACCTCCGACTGCTGGAGGAGGACTCTGCTTACCTGCTGTGGGAGGAGCAGCTGATGGAGAGGAGGCAGCATCTGGCTGCCTCCTCTCCATCTGAAAGAGATGGCGTCATGTGCAGCGGTGCAGGGTTTTTGGTGTGTGTGTGTGTGTGGGGGGGGGGGATCTGCTCAAGTCACAGGTGGTGCAGAGACAGCAAAAACACTACGAGGACACTGACAGACAACCAGCTGCTTTCACAATAATAAAACCTCTTGAGAGTACGTCTGCTCTGCTGCTAACATGCCGCTGCTGACATCCGAAAAACCTCCAAACCCCAGTTCTGAACTTCTTTTTTGACATTTGTTTCTTTTTTTTACTTGAAAATGAATGTACACAGCAATTTGGTCATCAGGATGTTGACCAAGTTTCATGGCTCGATGTTATGGGAAACATTTATTGACATTCACTCACACACACACACACACACACACACACACACACACACACACATATACTGTATATATATACAGTATATATATATATATATATATATATATATATATATATATACTGTATATATATATATACTGTATATATAAATTTCCTGACACAAGTTGTGTCAGGAAATTGGAGAAGGCAATGGAGCGAAAGTATGTAGAGCAGAGAAGAGTGAAGCGCAGCAGAGCAGCACAAGATGTGTTGGGGAACGCAAGGAAGAAAAGGGAGCTGAGAGTATGTTCAGCTTCAGTGAAGCAGTCTGCAATGCTGTGGATGAGAGTACGTCTGAAAAGAACAAAACAGAGCAGAGTTTTTTCCACTTTGGGGTCAGGGCTCCACCTGGAGTCACATGATATGTAAATGCAGAATGACTTGACATCTTTACGATTAAATAAATATTTATTAAATGCTTTCTTAAAAAAACTTGACACTGCTGTTACTGTGAGCTGTTTACTGTGTTAAACTATTCTTTTACATTTTTGGTGGAACAAAGGGTGGACATATTTTGCCGACACAATGATCAATGACTGCATTACAACTTGGGCCTCCAGCATCATGTATGCCAGATCCTGTGGCGTGTATGGCCTTGTATAACCATGTTTGTTCTGAAGTGGTTTAAAGCAACAATGTAACATATTCGATTTACCCTTGGGCCTTTCTTTTTGGGGGGGGTAAAAAACAGAAGATCCTATTAGATGTCGATGCAATTTG